TTGTTGTTGTTGTTATTTATTTATTTGTTGTTGTTGTTGTTGTTGTTGTTGTTGTTGTTGTTGTTATTGTTGTTGTTGTTGTTGTTTGTTGTTGTTGTTGTTGTTGTTGTTGTTGTTATTTGTTGTTTGTTGTTGTTGTTGTTGTTGTTGTTGTTGTTGTTATTTGTTGTTGTTATTTGTTGTTTGTTTGTTGTTGTTGTTTATTTGTTGTTGTTGTTGTTGTTGTTGTTGTTGTTGTTGTTGGTTGTTGTTGTTTATTTGTTGTTGTTGTTGTTTACAGACAGGTGTTAAATGTGGTTTATGTTTCAGATAAAATTCTTTGCACCACAATCATGTAATTAACCTTGTTATGATCTATCATTATGGACTGGGTTTGATAGTTTACCTTCATTTATATGCACATGTAATATAACTGTTTAGTATAACCTTGAAAATAATTCTATTTTATGACATTAAAGTCAAAATATAGATAAATATCATGAAATAAGGAAGTTCTAGGATTTGACCTTGAGAGACGACCTTACTCTGGAATGGGTCAATTTATCTTCCATTATAACTCTGTAAGTATAAGCTTGGTCATGAGTCAATATTTATAATTCTAAAGTGATAAAGTGTGACTTACTTATATACATATGTGTGCTTCGTGGGATCCCCGCATCACGGCAGCCATCTTGGATAATCTTAAATTGCGAAAATTCCTCAAGGTATTATGAGGTGTGATTCGGATATGTTATTCTGGACATATTTCTGCATCATTCCTGAAAATTTTAGCGAAGACAAATTATTTCCATTTCCGACCTAAAATTTGTCTAAGGCTCCTGGACTAATTAACGGACGAGGCTGGCGCCGCACCTACTCCTCCTGACCTCGCCAAAGTGAACACACATCTCCACTGCGGATTAACTACGGATGAGCTACGCACACTCAAGCTACCACAGTCGACTGTGAACTGCACTCATGGCCAGTGATAGTGGCAGTGTAACATCTGGCAGTGAGCACCCTTAAGTTAAGAGGATAGAGGGTACTGGTGGCCACGCACCCTCCTACTACAGTGTGTGTGGACTTATTGCAAGAAAAATTTTCTACACACACTGTACTGAGGAACAGTGTCCCAACTTGTACCACATATGCTGTAAGCATCCAGATAGCGGACTTAAGGACTCTTGGTGGCCTTATCCAGTTGAGTACGATATACCAACAAACCAGCCCGTGGCTCAGGTACAGGACCACACCCTCCCTACTCTCTTGTCACGAGGGTATTCATCTCTCTCTGAAAATATAGAGGACCTCCTAGCTAGAATCAGAGACCTTGGGTGGGGCTCTCACAGACAACTAATGAACTAATATCCCTAAAGGCCAGGAACAACATACTCCAACACGACATCCTTGCAATTACTGATAAAAAATAAATATCTAAAGCAGCTCCAAATAGCCATTGCTGAGGCCACTGAGAGCCTGGGAGAGGGTATATCCAGCTGCAAGTCTATCAGTGTCTCAGCTGTTCATAACTCAATAGATGCAAGCTACGAGGATACGACTCAACTGTCCCCTACAGTGAAGACTTGGTGGAACACCAAGTCCTAGAAGCTTGGAGCGAGGGTGAAGAGAAGATACGCTGCCAGAGACTGTGCAGCACAACCTCTCCCTAGTATACCACAACCCACGCGGTACCTACCAGCCACTCGCCCCAGACCTCCCCAGGACCAGGCTGCTCCCACGACTTCGACGCGAGCACAAGTTCCTTCCTCCTCCAGCAGGCAGTTTAACACTCATCACCGTCGGAAAGCCAACCCGCTCCCCTCACAACCGAGGGCCCCCTCCCACCAGTCTGTCCATGTCCCTTCCTCATACCCTTCTGACCCACAACCCAGAAGGAAGAAGAGTGGAAACGACAGGAGGGCCAAAAACGGAGACCAGTTCCTTGAAGCTAACGTTAATAAGCTCAACAGGCTCATAACCGAGGTACGACAACCATCTCCAAACTACTCCCCACCTGGCCTGATCCACCCACAGTTTCCTTAATGGAGACACTCTCCTGGATGGACGCCCCCTTACTGGGCATCGCTTATCCCGACCCGTCATCAGGGCCTGACTTCATCCCAAAGCACTTCCAAAACTCACAACGCGGCTGCGCCAGCCCCCAGAAGGTCTCCCCACATCATGGCCCTGCCGCCGGAACCATTGTGCTTCTCTCGGCCAATGTGAGAGCCTCAGGACCACCATGGGCAATCTCATGCACAATTTTTCCCTAAAGAGAGCAATGTGGACATCGGTGTGGTTACGGAGATGCTGCTGAACAACAGCGTGGAGCTCACATTCAGAAAAATGGCGGGCTACAGTCAGGGGGTCAGGAGAGATCGTCACGGGATGGCGGGTGGAGGTGCTGCTGTCTGTTTCATGGAAGAATTTCAGGTGTAGGTCTTGCAAGCTGACAACTCAGCGTGGATGGAAGCATTATAATTTGAGTTGTCCTCGCCGGTGGCGCTGCTCTGCTGGTCTGTGGTCTTTACCGCCCCCAATGGCAAGGACGCTCACCCCTCAACTTTCTGACGGAACACCTGGATGACCTCCATACCCGGCACAGCTGTTAACACCTCATGATCTGGGGGTGGGGGGGCCTTGAATTATTATATTTTCTTGTCCAGGACTCCTATGACAACCTCCTGGTGGTTCAGGGTCTGGTGGATCACGTAAATTTTCCCACCAACATACACGTAGGGATGCTGGACCCCGTCATATCTGACCTCCAGGATGATTCTGTCAGATGCTACCGACTGGGACAGGTAGATAGCTCAGACCACTATGCGGTCCTGTCCCAGGTGATGTTGGGTGTGGCGCGTGATGAGGCCTCCACTTGTACCATTAGGCTCTGGGACCGTGTTGACTGGTCCTCCATGATCTGCACGACACAGACCGGGACAATCTTCTTCTTGGTGGTGTAGATCACAAGGCTGAGACCCTCACTACTCGACTCTTGGATCTACAGCAGCTTTACGTACCACATCGCCAGTACGTCACCAAAGCCTCGGATCACCCAGGTTTGGTTACCGTTGTCGACTTGCTGCAGAGGCCAAGTATACGGCGTGGGTGAGGTACAAAGGGAACCCGACCAGACTTTAGCTACCAGCAGCAGGGACAAGTCGGTGCTGCTGGGTGAGCTCTTTAGCCCTAAAATGACTGTTCCGGAACCCAATATAACTCCACCTCTTCTACAACTAGTGTGTGAGGAACAACTGATCACAGTTTCTGTAACTCAGGAAACAGTCAAACGTCTATTTCGAAAAGTTAATATTAAAAAGGCAGCTAGCCCTGACGACATCAGCCTGTATGTCTTTCGACTGTCTTCAACACCTGCCTGGTGGTAAACACGTGGCCCACCGTGTGGACACAGGCCAGAGTGGTACCTGTCCATAAAAATCAGTCGAAGTCTGACCAGGAAACTGCCGCCTCATATCACTGTTATCTGGGATCAGCGAGATATTTGAGAAACTAACTCGCGGTGTAAGTGTGTCGCCACTTTGGCCACCACAATCTGCTGTCTAACCAGCAGTTTGGTTTCAGATCATCTCGATCCACCTCAGACCTGCTGCTGCTCCTCCCCAGAGACTGGCAGAATACGCTGGACAATGATCTGGACTCCCTCGTAATCGCCCTTGACAACGAGAAGGCCTTCGACCGGGTGTGGCACGGGGGCCTCATGGAGAAGCTTCGAGCAAAGTGAATCGAGGGGAATCTTCTCCTGCTTCTAGAAACTACCTTCGAGGGAAGACCCTCAGAGTTGTCGTCAACGGTCAGACCTCCCGAGATTTTCCACAAGAGGTCGGTCCCTCAGGGATCTGTTTTGGGACTGATTTTATGGAACATCTATATTGACGACCTCCTACAACATATGCCAGTGGTATCAACCTACGCTGATGATTGCACCCTATCGTGCTCTGTTCCCCGCCAGGATTGAGAGTAAACCAGCAGCTGGAGCTGATCCATGGATGGGGTACACGTTGGCAGGTGAGTTTTGCCACTCAAAAAACACAAAAAGCAAGCGATGGTGATATCCCGCTCCCTGGCGGCTGCCCACGCTGTAGAGAATAGAATCCTCTTTGGGGATGTGCCTCTCCCACTCATGGATTACATGCCAATCCTCGGAGTGAACTTTGACAAACATTTGAAGTTCGACAAACACCTCAACAACTGTGCCTGCAAGGCCTCACTCAGGGTATCTACCCTGAGAAGGTTGACTAGATTTCTTGACCACAGTGGAATCCTGGCGCTCTATAAGACTCAGATAAGACCTTGTTTAGAGTACTCATCCCTTTCGTGGATGTCCAGCGCTTCTTCCCACATTGGAGAACTGGACAAGATACAGAGGCGAGCCCTGCGACTGATGGATTCTGCCTCACACCCTCCCCAAGACACCGTCACCACCGTGGACTCTCTGGAGCACCGGAGAGATGTGGCGGCCCTGAAGGGTTCTACAAGGCTCAGGTCCAAGAGTTCCCTCACCTGGCGGGACTCAGGCTGCCCCTACGAGCTGCACAGAGGAGCACGAGATCGGTGCTGTCGAGCGTCCAGCTGGTGGAGGTGCCGAGGCCACGAGTCAGTCAGCATCAGAGGACCTTCATGACTGTGAAACCTCTTCACGGCGGCCATACTGGGGAGATGACTACCCAACAGGTCAAGATGGCCGCTCATAGATGGCGACCGAAATTCCCAACTCCGCTGATTCTTCCGCGAACCTGACTTACCCGTCTGTTCACAGCAATTCAATTGAAGTCTACAATTTTTACCGTGTATTACTATGTAATTTATCAGCAGTATTATTTAGTATGTCTACATGATTATATTTGTAGTGGCTTTAATTATTCCAATGTCCCTAACTATGTACTGTATGGTCATATATTGTAACAATCCTGGGAAGGTTTGTCAGATAGGACAGTTTTTCCCCAAATTGTCCTTTAAACCAGTTATCATGTGACTAGGCTAGAACCTTGTCAGTGACCCCCATGTATCCAACTGTTTACAAAAAAGAACAAGTGGAGAAGTAAGAAATAGCACTTTGACTTACATATATATACTGTAATGTACAATTAAAAAATACCATCAGACCTTTTGGTCTCAGACGAATGATTACAACACCCTATGGGCCATAGGTCTTGTTTTAGCGGGAACATTATGTTTATGGGAGGACGGTGCCGCTTATCGACCCCCTTTTTTATTTTTTTTTAGGGGGATATCATCATGACAGAAATTAATGAGTTGTAAGAGAATTTTCAGACAAAATACCTACAGAATAAAGGCAATTCATTCTCTAAATAATATTCCTAATATTCACTTATTTATTCCTGTGAAAGGGAAACGTTCGATCAATTACAAATTCAAAGTAAATTTTTCTTCTCACAAAACTAATTCGAAATAACCAAAAGTTGTATGGCGATGGATGAAGGAGAGAAAATTAAGTTTATAGTCAGGACGCTGACGCTTGTCGATCCTCTCTTGTTTTTGTAATCCCAGGAAGACGGGAATTAATGAGGCTCCCTGGAACAAATAACAGGGAGGAAGACTTTCAATAGATTACATATTTCTTCCTCCACATCCTTCGTCTCTATTAAACTCTGAGACAGGAAGTAATGGGTCGTTCTCACACGACACAAACAATGAAGGAGGAGACTCAAGCCAGGTGACGTGTTGCCGCCATCACCTCGCCTTCAACACAGATGATTACTTTTACACCAACCCCAAATAATGCTTTCAGAAATAGAGGACTAACGTATTATACCAGTCACTATCCTCGTTGTAACTCCTTAATCCCGGGAGTACGATGACTTAACTTCATAACTACAGTGTTATCGTAATCATAGTGTCAAGATATCGTACTCAGGGGATGTGGTCGTTGTAGTTCAGTGGTTCACCCCTCGTACTCAGAAGGATAGCCCTCGTACTCAAAAGGGTAAAGAAGGAAATTAATGAATTATTGCGAACAATTATAACACTGGCCTTGATATCACTCCAGCTAGACTCAAGATCACACCACCTGGCCCCTAGATCACACCAGCTGGCCCCACGATCACACCAGCTGGCCCCAAGATCACACCAGCTGGCCCCAAGATCACACCAGCTGTCCCCAAGATCACTCCAGCGGGCCCCAAGATCACACCAGCTGGCTACAGGATCACACCAGCTTGCCCCAAGATCACGCCAGCTGGCCCAAGATCACACCAGCTAGCCCAAATATCACACCAGCTGGCCCCAAGATCACACCATCTGTCCCTAAAATTACACCAGCTGGCCCCAAGATCACGCCAGCTGGCTCCAAGATCACGCCAGCTGGCCCCAAGATCACACCAGCTGGCCCCAAGATCACACCAGCTGGTCCCAAGATCACACCAGCTGGCCCCAATATCACACCAGCTGGCCCCAAAATCACGCCAGCTAGCCCAAAGATCACACCAGCTGGCCCAGATATCACGCCAGTTGGCCCCAAGATCACACCAGCTGGTCCCAATTTCACACCATCTGTCCCTAAAATTACACCAGTTGGCCCCAAGATCAGAACAGCTGGCCCCAAGATCAGAACAGCTGGCCCCAAGATCACGCCAGCTGACTCAGCAGGCCGTCACGTTTCTCCCTGACACTCGATACATCTTTTAAATCAAGTCACTTAAGGATAATTTCCCGGCGGCCTTCTGTGAGTGACAGCTTGATGTACCCTACTTTATGGTATAGGGAGGCTCTCAGCTGTGTGTGTGTGGGTGTAATAATAAATAATAATAATAATTAACGGTTTATTGAAAGAGCTTGGCAGCCAGAAGGCTGAAAATATACAGTTACATATTTGGGGAATGGGTTACGAATTACAAATAATATACAAGTGACACAAATAAGACATATAATAACTTAGATGGGGATCAGCTCAAACTACAGTTCATTTCAACATAGTGACAGTGTAGGGAGCAGTGTTTACTGGGAGTGAATACACTGATTTATTACATGTTATTGATAATTTTTACAATGGTTGGGACTGGGCTGTTCTTATAGCGATCAGTTCGTGCACGTATGGGCTGGATGCGGTTGTGGTGTCGAACAGCAATTCTCGGACAGGGGATCTCAGGTGGTAGTAGGGGCCGGTGTCGGGGATGGTGTAGAAGCTTCTTACCAAATTTGCAGATGAGGCCGTGGTGATGGTCAGTGAGAGTCGAAAGGGTCAGTGTGTTGAGCGCTTCTTGATATGTGGAGTAGGAAGGGGAGAGAATAATCTTGCATGCCCTCTTTTGCACTTTTTCTAGGTGTTTACGTTGTGTGGCATTTAGGGAGGAAGACCAGGTGGGGGAGGCATAGGTGAGCTTGGGAAGTATGAATGTCGTGTATACACTGAGGAGCTCATGTGCAGGAACTCCGAGGGACTTGAGTCGGCGGAGGAGGTGGAGACGGAAACTGGAGGATTTGACAACTTCACTGACGTGTGGTTTCCAATTTAGTTTGTTGTCTATGGTGACGCCGAGGAGCTTCGTGGAATCTACGACCTGGAGTGTGTTCGGACCAAGGGAAATGGAAGGAGGTGGGACAATGTCGGAGGAGAGGTTGATGTGCATAACCATGGTCTTGGTATGGTTGATGGTGACATAGTTGTTGGTGGCCCAGTTTTGGAGACTGTTCAATAAATCCTGAAGGGCGGTATAGTTGGGAGCAGAATTGTTGACGCTGATCCCAATGGTGGATCGTCGACATATTTCCAGCGAGCAGGGGTTTCTCTTAGGGCATCATTGATGAGCATAAGGAAGCAGAGTGGTCCCATCTTGGTGCCTTGGGGGACGCCACAGGTGAGTGACTGAAAGGTGGAGACAGCCCCTCGGAAGCGTACAGCTTGGCGTCGTCACTGAGGAAGTCTGTAAGCCATGGTATGGAGACTTCTCCGAAGCCCGAGGTCATAGCTTTGTTTATGATTATATTGTGGTCGACTAGGTCGAACGCTTTAGTGAAATCAATGAAGGCGACAGCTACAGACGTTTTTCGTTTCTCGAGATGGCGGTATATGTAATCGAGAAAGCTGACAAGACAGTGAGTGGTGGAGGAAGTTTTCATGTTGCCAAATTGCTGAGGGTCTACGACTCCTGCAATATCAGCATAAGCCCAGTCAAACACAAAACTTTCACAGATTAGGCTGGGTATTGGGGTGATTGCAATAGGTCGTAGCTGATTTAAGGATTGTGGGCTGGTCGACTTGGGCACTGGTGATACATAAGAGGTCTTCCAGTCAGCTGGGCATCTGGCTTGACTGAGAGAGGCATTGATGATGGAGCAGAGGGGTTTAGCAAGCTCCGGGGAGAACTCCTTGAATAGTTTCATTGGTAAGTCAATGGGGTGGTAGAGCGCTTTAATTTTAGTTTGTCCAGGCGTTTTGCTACGTCAAATTCTTCTACTAAGTCAGTGGGAAGGGGGGCTGGTAGGTAAGCAGGGAGAGTGGTTGTGTCGAGCCGTGGGAGCGTCTGGCATATAGTAGCGAAATGGTTGTTTGTTTGCTCAGCTGCGTCAACATTAGTGAGATGGCTAAGGAAGGGGAGGGGGTGTGTCATATTGTTTAGTCCACAGAGTTCTTTAAGCTTACTATACCATTGACTGATGTTGGTCTGCTTCAGGTGTTGTAATTTGGTTGGGTAGTGGGACTTCTTTGCAATGCGTATTTCGCGGATGACTCGGTTGCGAAGGGACCTGTAGCGGATGTGGTCATTGAGATGAAAGGCTCTGTGTCTCTGTTGCATAAGTCTTTTGATCCGAGGTGTGATCCAGGGCAAGTCAGCTGGGTGAGATCTGACGGACTTCTCGGGGAAGAAGTGGTGGTGAGCTTCCGTGGTGGTGTTGGTATAATTTATCCATTTGGTTTCCACGTCATCCACGCTAAGTACTTCAGTCCAGGGATGGTGAACTATCCACTGCCCGAAGAGGCGCACTGCAGAGTCAGTAATCGGCCTGTAGGTCTTGATGTAGGGTCTCTGTGCTTGAGTGGGAGTGGCAGCTGGGGACCAGAGCACTGATAAGTGTGTGCTACACCCGATAGGAGGCATTGGTTGAGGTGGTTGGTACTGGTTCGCTAAGTCAGTTAAGATAAGGTCAAGGGTATTTTGACCGTGTGTGAGGAAGTTCACAACTTGTGATAGAGACAGCTGGTCCTGGATATCAGTGGTGTCAATTTCATCATAATCCCCGCATAATACTAACTTGGCACATGAGCAACAAACTCTGAGGTGGTAATGAGATGATTGATAAGAGTGTCTCTGGTGGGTGAGCGAGGCGGATGGTATGACATACAGATTATGATACAAGCAGTGTGGCGCGGGTGGGACCGTGTCACAACACGTATCCATACTTCTTCCACATCTGCTGGGACTTGAACATCCAGGCGTGACGGGCGTAGGTCATCTTGACAGAAGAGGGCAACGCCCCCTCCGCGTCTATGTGAACGAAGGTGATGAAAGAGTTGATATCCCTAAATATGACACGTTTCAGGCACAATTTGCCAAGCCTCACATATGGCGACGACGCTCGCGGCGGCTGACCTGACTGTAGTTGCCAGCTCGTCGAACTTGTTAGCTAGGGAAGTGACGTAGGAGAGCAGTAAAGACGGCAGATCATACCATATCCGTGGAACTTCAGTGTAATAGTACGGTCAGTCAGGGGTGGGTTTCTCTGGTTTCCTAGTGTGTGTGTGTGTGTGTGTGTGTGTGTGTGTGTGTGTGTGTGTGTGTGTGTGTGTGTAATAATAATAACAATAGTAATAAACGGTTCATTAATAGAATTACAGCCGGTGGCTGAAAATATAGAAACTTACATGTGATTTCGACATAATAATATACGTTCAATGCATTTACAGGGCTATACAGTACATAAATGAGGAGCTGTTTATTATATTAACAATAGATGGGATGGTGCTATTCATATATCTATCAGTGCGGGCTCTTATGGGCTGAATTTTGTAGTAGTGGCGGACTGCGCGAGGTGAGCGGGGCACTGCCGGTGGCAGTAGGTGGCGATGGCGAAGATGGTGCAGTAGTCCGCTACCAAACCCTGCTAGTGCGTGGTGGTGGAGGTCACTGAAGGATGGCATTTCGAGGGTGGAGAGAGCGTTGTTGTAGCTGGAGTAGTGTGCGCCGAGCATGATTCTACAGGCTCTTTTCTGTACCTTCTCTAGCTGACGTTGTTGGGTAGAGTTGAGAGAAGACGACTAGGCTCGTGACGCATACGTTAATTTTGGGAGTATAAATGCTTTGTAGATAGTCCTCAGCTCTGGCGTGGGTGCCCCAAGTGACCTGAGTCGTCGTAGCATGCAGAGTCGGTACGAGGCTGCCTTAATAGTGTTGTTTACATGGACCTTCCAGTCCAGTTTGTGGTCTATAGTTACACCCAGGAGTTTGGCAGACTGCACTAACTGGAGAGGATGGGCACCCACTGTAACTGCTGGAGCTTGCACTGGTGTGGTGGCGGTGTTAATGTGCATGTTCTCCGTAGTCCATGCCTGTAGCCTGTCCAGGGTACCTTGTAGTGATGAGTAGTCCTGTGAGGTGTTGTCCACTGTAACCTCCACAGTGCAGTCATCCACGTACTTCCACCTGTGAGGTGTCCGATAGAGCGTCGTTGATCAGGATTAGGAATCACAGTGGTCCCATCTTGGTCCCCTGGGGAACACCGCAGGTGAGGTGTTGGAATGTGGAGACAGATCCCTGGTACCTAACTGCCTGACGATGCTCACTCAGGAAACCAGTGAGCCATGAGACCAGGTTGGTGGGCAGCACTAGTGCAATGGTCTTGTTGATAGCAGTGCAGTGATCAATAAGGTCAAAAGCCTTCTTAAAGTCAACAAGGGAAACGGCCAATGATGTCTTACGTTCCTCCAGGTTTTTGTGCAGAAAATCCAGGAAACTAACTAAGCAGTGTGATGTAGAGCAGGTCCTCATATTGCCAAATTGCTGTGGATCAATTGACTGATAAATACTAGCAAATGCCCACTCAAAAACAAAGTCTTCACAGAGTAGACTGTGTGTGTGTGTGTGTGTGTGTGTGTGTGTGTGTGTGTGTTTGTGTGTATGTATGTGTTGGCGTTTGCGGGTTTGTGTGTGGGTGTATGTAATAATAATAAATAATAATAATTAACGGTATATTGAAAGAGCACGGCAACCGGAAGGCTGAAAATATACAGTTACATAATTGGGGAATGGATCTCTTGATTTACAAATAATATACAAGTAACATAAGTGATACAAATATGATATATAATAACTAGGTGGGGAGAAGCTCAAACTACAGGGCATTTCAACATAGTGACAGTGACTGGGAGTGTATATACTGGTTGATTACAAGTTATTGATAATTTTTACAATGGTTGGGACTGGGCTGTTCTTATAACGATCAGTTCGTGCTCGTGTGGGCTGGATGCAGTTGTGGTGTCGAACAGCAATTCTCGGACGAGGGATCTCGGGGTGGTAGTAGGAGCCGGTATCGAGGATGGTGCAGAAGCTTCTCACCAAATTTGCAGGTGAGGTCGTGGTGATGGTCAGTGAGAACCGAGAGGTTAGTGTGTTGAGCGCTTCTTGATATATGGAGTAGGAAGGGGAGAGAATAATCTTGCATGTCCTCTTTT